AGGTCCCTTATTGGCGAACTGTACATTATTGACCTCTGGGATTACTGGTCCCGTAAGTGGATGAATGGGTGTGCAGGTGCAATAGCCTCTCAATGGCGCACTTTTCGATGTCCCTCCGATAGCACGGAAAAGTGGCAGAGGGTAGCGATTCCGGGGGACCGTTTGCTTACTGCTCGCGGGGCCGTACTGCATCCACGCGCCTAATCATAGCCATACGCGCTACTTGTCTGCGCTCTCTCTTCGGGCGGTTCTCTGAGCCGAGTGTTTCGCTGTGGCGCTTTGGCAACGACACAAGTTGTGCACATTGAGAGAAGCGCAGGTGGAGTGTGAAGACGGCAGTACTCTCCAGCCCCGTTCCTGTACACTTTTGAATGGAAAAGAAGGCATGCTAATGCAGTTGCACACATTAACCTTGCCCATGGAAAGCACCGTCTTCGAAGGTGAGAGCAGAGCTTGCCTCTCTGCAAGTAAAGTGCCCATACGTTTCCGGAACGTGCGAGATTTGCCCAGTGGGCCCTCCACGGCGTCGCAGTGGCGCTCGAAGGGCACACCACATACTATTGCCAGTATGATGATGTCACCCCTGTAAGTGATCTGCATCTCGTGTACACTTCTGGCAATAAAAGTTGACAATTTTCACTTATCTCTCTATCTCATTTTCTGACCTATACATGGCCAAATGTTGTAGATGTGTAGCAGTAGCTGAAAGTATTGTATTACAGCTCAACAACTACCAGCCGTTCCCGCAGACCTTCCGTGCTACGAAAGAACCGGCACCAGCTCCACGTTAGTGATCCATTTTGGAGAGTTATTGATTACCTTGGTGATCTACATGATTCAGAAGACGAATTCAATCCGGAGAATATGTTCAAACCTCGTAATGAGCGTGGAAAAGTTTTTGCTGGTCGAAGAAAGGTTACAGCTGCAAGCATGCCGTCTCTTTTCAATCTCTGTCTTCGTGTCTTGTCTAGCAACATAAGGGGTGATTTTCAGAGATGTTCTCTGTTCAAATAATAAATTTCACCTAATTTTCACATAATTCAGTCCTGTACTACGCGGAGTATATTAACTACGATGTGCTCAAGCCGATTTTGATGGAGAAATGCAACGCAGAAACTCTTGCGCACATAGAGTCCAGGCATCAGGTGACTGCTCACTTTGTTTACTGAGCCTAAACATTAGTACTTTGAACAGTTTTTTCAATTAGAAATAAAGAAGCCTACAGTATTCACATCAGCCTGAACGACTGCGCTATTTCCACTGTAAAGTTTCTGGTGTATTGAAGACTGCCGCTCTGGTAGTGGAACCCACGAGTTGCCGAGCGATTCGGACAAAGACGCGCCTTAGAAGAAATGCCGATGAGTCCTCCTCCCAGGCAAATAAGAGGGCTGGTCTGTAAGTTCCGGGCCAGCACTGCTCGAATCAGTGGCTCATTCCCCAGAAAAACCCGCTATCGATTAACTGGCCTGTTATGGGCACGAGGCTTGTTTGGTGCGGAGGACCCTCCCCCGGGTGGGGCGTGGGTCGTTGAGTTGAGGGTTGTGCGGCTCTTATGCTGATGGAAACGTTGTCAGTGATTCAGTAGTGAAACAATGCAAAAAATCCACCTAAAATGCCCCATATAGAACACCATGCTGAACTGCGCTTGTAGGTGTATAAGGCGAGGAAGAAGCGTAGTCGG